GGACTGCTAGGAAAACAAACCGATTCATCCTGGAGAGGGTTAAACTGGGCTGCTCATTGGAGGCAAGGATTCTGAAGCTCCATCTGACATACTTTGGTCATGTTGTAAGGAGAGACCAGTCTTTGGAGAGGCACATTAAGCTTGGTAGGGTGGATGGACAGCACAGGAAGGGAAGGCCCTCTATAAGGTGGATTGATTTAGTGACTGGGGTAATTGGGATAGGTGTTATCGGAGACAGTGTGATTGGCACAGGACAGAGCAGAGTTTATGGCTGTTGTACGTAGGATTGCTATGACTCTCAAGCGACTCGACGGCACATAACAACAATAACAACAACAGTGGCTCCATAAGAGAAAGACAGGCACAAATTCACAAGGCAGCTGAATTAGTAACTGCAGTTTATTTGCAATTGCTATCTAATGTACACTGATGTACAGTGTATCATATTGTAGTGGGTTGAATGTTGTTAGGAATCTTTATCTCTGGTATTTCAAACAGCAGTTGGGTCAGCCATAATGCACAAGTTTCATTGGAACTTCCAGAAATAAGGTAGAGTAAGGAAAATGTCCTCGTCATCTACTTCTGAAAATTACTTCATGAAAATCTTATTGATCACAAAATAATATTGTCCAATATAATCTCGGTTTAGGCAATGTTTCTTTCTGTTGTAAATGGGTCTCCACAGTTTGGAGCTAACTGAATGGCACCTAGCAAGACTTTCTAAACAAAATACTCAGGCACTTGTTACAGAAACTTGGTAGCAGGAAATGGATCATGGAAACTGTGGCTTTGTGTATTTTACAAGAAGAGTATTTGTTAACTTTAGTTAATGTTTACTTGAAAATCAATCTAGTTAAAGAAAAAAATAAATTCATAATATTTCTATAAGTTGCCCAAGATTTCACAGTTGCCAGACATCAGTTGATAAGGTAAATAAATAAGCCTGTCATTAAAATATTTAAGTTCATGTAAAACAACCATGACAAAAATATCCTGGCAACATTAAATATTAAATAATATTAAAAGTATCAATTGCTTGAGACTGGCAAGAAGACATGTGTGTTTGTGTGTGTGTGTGTGTGTGTGTGTGTGTGTGTCAGTGAGAGAAAAAGGGATATAGACAGTTGTTAAGTGCCGTCGAGTTGTAGGCAACTCATAGCGACCCTATGAACGAAAGTCCTTAACACTTGCGTGTGTGACTTTCATCCTTTCTCCAGGTTCATAGGGTTTCCGGAGGCAAGCTATTTACAGAAGTGGATGCCACTTCTGCTTCCGTTTCAACCAGAGAGCACCACCAAACACTGTCCATTGTGGGTAACCGTAATTGCACTTGACATATCAGAGAGAGGCAGATTATGATTAACTAATGTTCTTTAGTCCTACACTCTTCTCCCCAAGGCCTAACATTTAGAAAAATAATAGTGGTTTATTATATGACAGCAAAAACCAATTTGTTTCACCTGAAAATTTTCCCCAGCTCTCTCTGTAAGATCAATTTATCATCATTACCTTCACAAAATGTAAAGACCACCTCCCTACTATTCCTAGAACTAACTAATAAAGGAAAAGGTATTTCTAGTTCATCCAATCCTCTTGGGGAGCTTTTGCACAGAGCAAAGGGGAAAGACCAATATACCATAAATCAGTGAGAAGACTATGATTCCTGCAATTTTCAGAGGCATTTTCATTTATTAAATGTGTTGTAGAACAAGAAATAAAAAATTCAGACATTCATCTCATTTTCTGTGCTTCTGGCAATGAGTATTGTTGCCACCACCCAGAAGTGTAAAAGGGAAGGATGGCCACCCCAGCCCTGGGCTAGTGTCTTTTTGGCTACAGATGAAAAAAGGACTCATCAAAGTGGACAGGTAAGCCATTTTCACAGGCCACAACAATGTTTCTGAATCCTTGCGTGGCTCTGTACCGGCACGGTGGCCGAGGGGATCCTCCTGTATGCCTGCAGGTGGTGACCTGGAAAGCAGACTTGCTTATTCTTAAATTTTCTCTATGAGGGATTCCATTCTTGTTTCCACAAATGTCCTTGATGTTGCCCTTGTTGCCATGAATGAAAGTGTTGGTGTCTTTGCAGGGTGTCGTCAGTCCTCGTCTCTCCATCATGCTTGCACAATATCTGTCATTCCGGCCCTTTGGTTTGGCATCATAGTGCTGGGTCAGGAAGTGTTTGTACCTGGAGTCATCCTGAGTCAGGGCTGGTGGGGTCAGACTCAGACCCAGCATGAAGACCAACAACAGGGGGCCCAGGCCCATCATCATCTCTTCCAACAGAGACCCCTGCCAATGGCAAAAGGAAGTACAATAGGAGCACAGAACTACATTGCTGAAAGAATAAGTACTTTTCTCTCTGACAAGGCATCAAGAATCTGGCATCCTCAGTCACCTAGTCATTTCTCCCCCCCCCCCCTTCTTCATTAACCTCATGCTTCTTATCAATCCATTCCTTTAAAAAGTCTATTCAAAGTTTCTTAAATACAACTTCCAGCCCCAAACATTCTTTCTTATCCCTTGGGATCACTGACTATTATTTTATTATAGTGCACCAACAGTCCTAGGAGAAAGATGGCCAATCTTTGATGGGTTGTATAGAGACCTGATGAAAAGGGTCAACAATGAATTGACTCAACAGCAATGCATGAGTGAGTGATAGTCTTAGCATTCAAAACTCATTCATGTTCTTTAATTTCTTAACAAATATTACATAAGCCCAACTGAGTACCAAACAGTATGCTCTTATCTCTCTCATTGCCATTGAGTCAAACTACTGATCTTCACTGAGTTTTCAAAGACTGAAAATCAGGAGGAGATGACCCGTCTTTCTTTCCTGGAGCAGCTGGTGGATTAAAATTGTGTGCCTTTAGGTTAACACATAGTTCTCCAAGGGCTACACCACCAGAGTGCCCTAAATAGTATACTTGGTTCTGGGAATACAAAGAATGTTAAAGATACACCAAATGCCTCCTCAAAGGAAGCATATGGTATCTATGGGGGAGGAGCTTTCCAATTTATCAAGATATTAATAATAATGTAGAAGGTAAAAGCTGTCAAGAGAGGGATTTGGGGGAATCTCAAACAAAGGAAAGTGTCAATTGGGATTGTTAAGGACAGAGTTCCAGCACATGTTAATTAGTCAGTTGTGAAGAAAACATTTTTGCCTTGTTGTAAAGGGAGTCAGGCATACTTTCCCAAGAAGTAGATAGTTCATGGTTGAATGGGGAAGTATTGTGTCTTATTTGGAAACAACACAAGAAGGGCTTAGAAGAAGCTATGTAATTCTTAGAAGTGGGTCTGGGATCAACTCATAACAGGGGATTAGAGAAGAAATTCAAGCATATCCTATTATTCTAGGAATTTCTCACATTGAGTAGAATTGGCTTATTCACAGAGAAGAATATTTTATATAATTTCTACTGAATAGTTACATATGTTGTTATACAACAGGAAAATGATGTTACAAAGAAGTAAAAGAAATATAACTCAAACTTTTTCATTAAATCAAAGGCCTTCCAATTTGCATTAATGTCTCTGTGGAAAGAAGAAAAAGAGGATCCCTGCTATCATTGCTCAAGAAGGGCAGAAAGCACACATCCAAAGGGATGGTGCGCCACAGACACTCAAACATAGAGTCAGAATAGTACTTCTTCCTGGAGCATAATTTTAACCCAGTCATGGACAATTTAAAATAGAAATAAATATGGCTTATAATGTAATTGAAAACAATTTGCAAGACTATCTTCCTTGTGAAATAGGAAGATGGGCGTATTGACAGGCACATGACACCCACTACAGGGAGTATTTTATTACAGCTTTGGCTTCTATAGATAAGGCATATTTACTCTTTCATTCCCTTACTAACACATTCATCACAGTTTTAAAGACCATATTAGGTCTGCTCTACATTATACCAAGCATAGGAGACTGCATTCACATCTTATAATACACACTAAATTTTTGCTATAACTTTAAAAAACATTATGTAGAAACAGTCCATAAAAAAAAAAGAAACAGTCCATGAGTAACTCATTTTATTTATGATTGTCTTTGATTTCCTGACAATTATTACATATATTATGAAATTATTATAAAAGGAGAAAACTGCCTTCAGAATATTCTTAAATGTGATGGAAATCTTATAAAATGAAAATGTGGTAAATATAAATATAAGTATAAACATAAACATAAATATAAATGGAAATGGATATAGAAATAGAGATAGAGATAGATCTATATCTACATCTACATATACATATAAATATAAATATAAAATGAAAATAAATGGTGCATTATTTCCTGACTGCTGTTGAGTTAGAACTAACTCATAGCTGAGCCCTCTCCCCACCCCACCCCACCCCAGTTGGGTTTCTACTGCTCACCTTTCTTCACTGGTGCCTCCACAGAGGCATAACCTTTGGGTTAGTAGCGCAGCTCCCTATGGATTATACACCAGAGGTCCTTGTCTGTACTTTGTCATTTTGTGTGTGTGAAGTCAGTAAATGCTATTTTTCATGTCTCTGTAATATTTCTGTAGCCCTTTAAAAGGCCAGAGGTGCTAGCTGCACTGAGAATGTTATAAACAAAAAAGACAAGAAATCTATGGTTTACATAGAAGAAGGTATGTGACTGAGAAAACTTTCTTTGAAATCAGCATTTGGCATTGCTCCACCCTGTTAGTTCATAACAACTATAGAAAAATGTGATACATGACTGAAGGATGAATTATGAGTGAAGGAAAACTTTGGTCACTTCACAAAATCAAATAAAATAGTAGAATAAAATTTTTCCATTAAACACATAAGATGGTGATTTTTAATAGAAGCAAGTCAAATTATGTCCAGAGGGCACTAAGTGGTTGTAGAGTTGTAAGCTATCGCTGAAAGAGTATATTCATTTGCTGTCACTGATCCAACCTGCTGCGGGGCCACCATGCTACAAATGGGCAAAGTTCTTTAATTGCTGTTGTGCTTTTCAGTCTCCTGAGTGTTTTCTTTCTAGTATTTTGGAGATCTTATAAAAGTTTTTACTGATTTTCAATAAATTAAGTATTTTTCTTCACATGGGCAAATACTGGTCACTTTAACAGCAAGTATAGACTCCCAGGATTTCAGGAGTAGAAAAGATCTTAGAAGTCACACAGCATACTTCGACCTAAAACCAGCATTGTAAAACCAGAGCTAATAATACCCAAAAGAGTCATTAGGTGGCAGTGTGGATAAGAATGTGGCTGATAACATTCACAGTGTGTGGGAGCTACTGTTGTTAAGTGCCATGTAGTTGAACAAGACTCATAGGACCAACAGATCTCAGAACAACAGATCTAAACCCTGTGCCTTCCTCACGGTCTCAGAAATACTAAAGTCCACTGTTGTAGTCACTGTCAAGCAACCTGGTTGAGCATCCTCCTCTCCTTCACCATTCCTCCACCTTTCCAAGGATGATGTCCCTCTCCAAGGAATAGCCTCTCCTAGCCAAAATGCTTGACTTATGTGAGATGAAGTTTCATCATCTTTGCCTCCAAGGAGCACTCTGGCTGCATCTTTTCTAGACATATTTGTTTATTCTTTTGGCAGTCCAAGGGGTATTCTTCTCCAATACCACAATTCAAAAGCATCAATTCTTCTGTCACCCTTATTCATGGTCCAGCTCTCAGATGCATAGCAAGTGACTGAAAAGACCATGACCTGAATCAGATACTCTTTAGTCCTCAAACTAAAATCATTGTTCCTCAATAATGTGAAGTCCCTGACTGCAAACTTTCCAGGTGCAAGACGTTATTGCTCCTTAATAATTTGAAGAGGTCCCTAATTTTTAAGAAGTACAGACTTTACTAGTGCAATATTGCCTCCTGATCTCCTGACTGCTGTGGTATCAGTCCTGATTGTGGGTCCAAGTAAGATGACAGTTTCAATCTTTTCTCCATCTATCATGACATTACCTATTGGTCCAATGGTGAGGATTTTTGTTTTCTTGAGATTGAAATGTGATCCATATTGAAGGCTGTGTGTTTAACAATCTGCAGCAAGCGTTTAAAGTCCTCCTCACTTTGAGCAAGCAAGATGGTGTTATCTGTGTAACGAAGATTTTCAATGAGTCTGTCTCCAATTCTGCTGCCACATTCTTCTTCATAGACCCCAACTGCTTGAATAATTTGAAGAGCATACAGATTAAATAGGTATGGAGACAGGATACAACCCAGATGCACACCTTTGCTGATTTTAAACCATGTAGTGTTCCCTTGCTCTGTTCCCACAATAGCATCTTGTCCTAGGTATAAGTTTTGCATGAGCACAATTAAATGTTCTGGGATTCTCATTCTTCTCAACGTTGGCCATAATTTGTTATGATCCACATGGTCAAATGCCTTTGCATATTCAATTAAGCACAAATAGACATTCTTCAGATAAAGGAATTAGTGGGTTCTTTCAAGACATGTCTATGGGAAAAAATTGGGCAATCACCTCCTTTGCTTCAATGACTCTAAAAACTTGCTAGAGACTAAGTTTTCTGACTTGATGGCAAATAACAATAACAAGTACTTATAGAAGAAGATCAAAAGGTATTTCATTCAATTTGGATTACACTTCAACATAAAAGAAAAAACCCTCCCAATAAAAAAAAACAAACATCACAACAGATGAAAAGTTGATTGAGGTCATCAAGGACTTCATTTTACTTGGATCCACAATCAACACACATAGTAGCAGCAGTCAAGAAATTAAAAGATGTGTTTCAATGGGCAAATTTGCTATCAAGGGCTTCTTTAAATTGCTAAAGAGCAAGGTTGTGAGTTTAAAGGCTAAGGCACACCTGAACCAAGATATATTTTCAATTGCTTTAAAAATGCATGTGGAAGTTAAACAATGAATGAAGAAGATGAAAGAAGAATTAATGCCTTTGAATTGTACTATTGGAAAGAGCACTGAACATAGGTCGGTTGCCAAAAGAACAAATAAGTCTGTCTTGGAGAAAGTGTAATCACCTCGCTCTCATGATAAATCGAAGATGGTGAAACTTCATCAACTTGCATATTCAGTAACGTTGTCAAGAGAGGCCGGCCCTTGGGGAAAAGATACGCTGGAGAAAGCAGAAAGTCAATAAGAGAGGAAGAGCCTCAAGCATACGGATTGACACAGAGACTCCAACAATGCGTTTAAGCATTGTGGAAATTGTGGCGATGATGCAGGATGAATGGGGTTTGGATCTATCTATTATCCATAGGGTCACCATGATTCGGAATTGTCTCAGTGGAACCTGACAACTGTATACATCGTGATTG